GCTGAGGAATCGAACCCAAGGCCTCATGCATGCAAGGCAAGCACTCTACCACTGAGCCACCTTCCCAGCCCTGCAGATGTATTCTTGATAAAGATTGATGCTAATGAAATTTTCATAAATCCTATTTTAGGGTACTTACTATTGAAAAGAAGCTTAAATATCTTGATATCTTCAAGGATCACTTCCAACCTCTGTACAACTACTTAAAAGATAACAATAAAGCTGTGTGCCAGTGGCTCATGCCTATAATCCTAGCTACTCAGGAGGCTGAGATCTGAGGATCGAGGTTCAAGCCAGACCAGGCAGAAAAGAGACTTATCTAACCATCAAAAAGCTAGAAGTAGAATTTGGCTCAGGGAGTAGAGTACTAGGCTTGAGCAAAAAACCTCAGGGACAGCACCCAAGCTCTGAATGTAAGCCCCAGGACAGCCCCTGAAAAAGAATGATAACAATAAAATATCACTTCCATGGAGGAGGATGTAGCTCGGGGACAAAGTGCCTGCCAGCATGCTTAAGGCCCTCACTTCTACCCCAGTACCATTTTAAAAAAAACAAAAAACACTTCTAGTTAATACTAGTTTCTATTTCTCCATTTACTTTGCTCAAAGCATAATAGAATTCAACCTACTGTTTGAGATCAAATTCTCTCATCACTTTGATCTTATTTCACTTCAGTCAACATCTTATTTCCTCAGCCCATTCAAGATAGTCTTGGTATTTATGTACCCTCAGTTTCAAAAGAAAAGACCCCAAAACCAGGTCGGGCACTGGTGGCTCATACCTGTAATCCTTACAAAGGAGGCTGAGATCTAAGAATCATGGTTTACAAACTAGAAAGAAAGCCAACTAATTGGGAAAAAAATATTTACCAGCAATATATCAGACAAGGATCTAATAGCCATTATATACAGGGAACTCAAGAAACTAACTCTCACAACTCTAACCAACCCACCATGAAATGGGCAAGGGAGGGAGCTAGAGAGAGACTTCTCAGAAGAAGAGATAAAAATGGCAAAGAAACACATGAGGAAATGCTCATCATCCCTGACTGTAAAGGAAATGCAAATAAAAACACTGAGATACCACCTTACCCCAGTCAGAATAGCCCACATCTTAAATTCAGCCAATGACAAATGCTGGAGGGGATGCGGAGAAAGAGGAACCCTAATGCATTGCTGGTGGGAATGTTCACTTATACAACCACTTTGGAAAGCAGTCTGGAGGTGCCTCAGAAAGCTAAATATAGACCTCCCCTAT